TGCCACACCAGGAGTCCCTTTTAAAAAAAGAAAAAAAGTACTTAAAAAACTACAGTAGGTAAATAAACATACATCATTTTTAAAACATTTGCCAGAACAGCTAATAGTTTGTCATACTGACATCTAAACAATTTTTCCAACCTGTTTCACCTCTTTCTCAACCCTGTTACTCCCACTAAAGTTCACTGTAGTTGTGACCTTGCCTTTTATACCTCTCCGTCTAGAAGATTTAAGGTTTGCAGCAGAAATGGAATCTAGCCGATTTAATTAGAAAAGGGGTTTATTATCAAGCAATTGGATGGTAAATAGAATTTAGGGGAAGGTGTGTGGTGTATGCACAGGTACTAACCAGAGGTTCAGCAGCTAGGACCACAGCGGGTTTTGAGCACATAATCCGGGGAAGCTGCCTTTGATGCCAGCATCGGCACATATCCCTCACTATGTCTGGTCCTTTTCACTGTCAGCATCCCATGTTCAGTCCCCTGAGCAGGATTGCCAGATTTGGCAAAGTTTGATCTTGTGCTCCTCTCCCTTCTAGTGATAGGGGTGGTCTAGGAAAGCAAGTTCTTGCTTTTTCATCTCTGTTGTGGGAGCAGGAAATTTCTCAATCCCAGAATAGGACTTTGAGTACTGAGCATCCAAAATACTACAGGTGTCTAGGAGTGTACACTATGTGTCAGTGTTTGTGTTTATTGTGTATCCTGTAACCACTATCAATTGATTAAAAGCAAGATAGAAATGTTTGCCTTTTATAAATTCTAATGGATGTTGCCCAACTGTGCAGGGTACTCCGAATTCTTGCTGTTTTTTCTTTTTCTCACATAGCATTACTTTTTTTTTTTTTAGGTTGATCTATGGTATTCTGTCATACGAATAGTCTACATTTTACTTTTCTATTCTTCTATGAGGAGCCCTGCTAGCTTAGTGGATTACTAGCTGGGCTGCTTACTGCTAGGTCAGCAGTTCGAATGTACCAGTCACTCTGCTCCTTAAAGCTTTACAGTCTTGAAAACCCTATATAGGGTCATTGTGAGTTGGAACTGACTTGGTGGCAGATACCCATCTCCACCACCATTCTTCTATGAGCATTTAGTTTTTTCCGAGTTTATTGTGATTAAAAAGATTGCTGCAGTGAACCTCCCTCTATGTGTCTCTTGTGTACTGTGTGCTAGTCTCTGTAGGGTATATTCTTAGAAGGTGAATTGCTGGAGTGTATACTTGGGTAGACACATTTTAGCTTTAATAGATGCTGCCAAATTGCTATGAAAAGCGTCTGAACCATTTTATTTTCCCACCAGCAACATATGGAAGTTTTATTTTCCTTATATCCTTGCCCAAAGATGGTATTGTCAGACTTTACATTTGTACCATCGTAGCCTGCTTTATTTTTTGGGTCCATGGCATTAAAGAGAAACAAGTTAGTTCATGCATTCCTGGATCTCTGCTAATAGTTCTTACCCATAGTAATGAGGGAATGGTTGTAAGTACTGTGATTCTAGAAATATAATCACTGGCCACCAGTGCTCTCTTGGATTTGAATAGATCATCAGATCACTCTCTGTAGTAGTTATAGAAAAGGCCTGCATGATTAGAGCAGTTGTCTGATTCCATCCAAAGTGGTTTTGCTCTCTGATAGCTTTCTGCCTCTCTGGAGCTGCCATATATCTAAAAACGCCACAGTCATCTTCCTTTATTACTAAAGCAGATGCTGCTTTTGTAGCCTGTCACATTTTTCTTTTTTTCTGAGTCAGCATAATTGGTGATTTAAAAAAGAGTCCCTCCCACCCCCACCCCGACACACACACTTTTTTTTTTGGAAGAATGCAGAAAAGAGAACAATACAGTATAGATAATTGAAATAAGAGGGCAAATTTAGGAACTGGAATATACTTACCTGAGTTGGGACTTGGCAACAATCTTAAAGTTTGGATTTGGCAAAGTGCCACAAGATATTGTAATGTATATAATATACATGTGCTGTCATTTGACCCACCTCTTACTAGGAAGCAAATATATGAGCAATAATATCTGTGTACTTCCTCTGTGCTCAGAGCTCCTCACTGGCACAAATGGTTAAGCACTTGACTAGTAACTGAAAGACTGGCAGTTGGAGTCCACCCAGTGACAGCTCAGAAACCCTATGGAGCACTGTTCCACTTTGACACAGTAGGGGTCACCATGAGTCAGAATGGACTGGACAGCAACTGCTTGTTAGTACTCTTCTGAGCACTGTACTGACGCATGCTAGCTCTCTTGTTAATTAGAGCAAGCCAAGGTTGCACAGCTGCTCTGTGCCAGAGCCAAGAGATTCAACCAGGTCTGCTGTGTTCTGTATCCTGAATTCTCCCCTCTAAGTCTGGTCGTTTGTCTCCATAATAGCTCATTCCTTAGGATTTAAGCCATTGTGTTTAGTAAAAGCATAGACTTAATGCTTGTCCTTCTCTGTGCATTCTGAAACGTTCCTCCTGCAGTTTTGTTCTTTCCTTCAGAGCCCAGCCTTATAGGACCACAGAAAACAGTGTATATGCTCTCTCCTTTGGAGAAGGCAGGTGTAGTATATAACTGACTTTTCTAACTGCTCTTAGGATACAGAATCTTAAAACAGACTCTTCTACAAAGGTGATGCATGCTACAGCAGTGTTTCGAACTGTAAGCTTTAAAAGGTTTTGATGATAGATAGCTCTTCTTCAGTTGCTCTATTTCCCTGATCTTTAAGTTGATGGAGAAAACATGCAAATAAAGGTTTTTAGGGAGGCAATAGTTTGGTCTTGAAATTGAAACTTTTACAGGTATATGTTAAGGGGAAAAATAAAAATTGCCACATAGTAATGAGTTATTTCTAATATGAATGCTCATTAACTTTAAATCATATAGGAGCACAAATATGTGAATTTCATATCCAAAACTATCCTTTCCAAATACATGCAAAATGACTGAACCTCATTTACTTTATTGTAAAGGATCCTTTTTGGATTCACATGGGTTTATGAGTCCATAGTACAACATTTTTTTTTTTTTTTAAGTAGCTGTTCTGTAACTTGTATACAGTTGCTCATAAATTTTATTTTAATGTAGCAACAGTAAGAGGCAGGATCAGCTTGAAATGTGGAGAAAGCTATGCAGAATCAGCAACTTGCTGGTTTAAGACCGCTTCTAATAAACATTGATAATTCTTGCATTTGGTATGCACTCTAAAATATATTAAAATGTGGTTTCGTAATTCTGGTAGGAGAAACTGAAGACGCACTTTATCAGCTCCATAATTTTATTCCGTTTTTAAATAGGTATGAACTGTTTGTATGTGAGCAATCATTATTATTATCTTGGTTTACTGGTATATGTTTTAGTGTCTAATAAACCATATAGTATTTTAAACAACCTATTGAGGTATCATTCACATACATATCCTGTATGGTTCAACTATGTAAAGTGTACACTTCAGTGTTTTTTAGTATACATGTACTCCTTAATTTAGACTTTCTCATTATTCATCTTTTCAGATCTTTGGTAATACCAGAAAAGACCTAACGTGTAATTACTTTGCATATAAAAGACATCTGGCATTGTTGTTTTTATGTGCCGTGGAGCCCGTTCCGACTTATAGCAACCCTGCATAGGGTTTCTGAGGCTGTAAATCTTTACAGGAGCAGAAAGCCTCATCTTTCTCCCGTGGAACAGCTGGTAGTTTTGAACTGCTGACCCTGAGGTTCACAGTCCGATTCATAACCACTACACTACCAGAGCTCCTTTGTTGTTTGGTGCCATCAAGTCAGTAACCACTCGTAGTTACCCTGAGCACAACAGAATGAAACTGCCTGATCCCCGGGCCAACCTCACAATTATTGCTATGTTT